GACATCTCAGTATAAGAGACACGGCTCAGCAGCTGTGATCACTCGTGTGCTCCTTTGTGTTGTCAGTGCTCCTCTTTCTTAAAATTTCTTTGTTCTGCTTTTTAACGATGACCAGATCTCACATGTCATCTCCTCTCTTTAAATACATGGACTTCTGCATTAGCTCAGAAGACACAATTAGATCTGATGCTACTTGTTTTTGCAGAGAAAAGAGATTAAGTGCAGATTAAGTTTCGGGTAGATTGCAAATGAAGGAAGACAAAAGAGCAGAACAGGACCTTCTTAGAAGGGAATGTTTTGAATTTGAGCAGTTGTATTTTGGACCCGATAATACAGCAGACTATCAACAGCACAATGAAGCTGACAATCTAGGATCATAGGGTCATTCAGGCTGGAAGGAACCTCAAGAGGCCTCTGGTCCAACTTCCTCCTCAGCAGGCTCAGCTGAGAGCTCAGGGCTTTATCCAGTTGTGTCTTGAAAACCTCCAAGGACAGAGATTGCACAGCCTCTCTGGGCCAGCAGATCTAGTGCCAGGCTGTTTTCACTGGGAAAAGGGTTTCCTTACGTCCAGTCTGAACTTCTGATGTTTTAACTCTTGCCCATTGTGTCTCATCCTCCCACCATGCCCCACTGCGAAGAGCCCAGCTTCATCTTCTTGCTGACCTCCTTTTAGGTGCTGGGGGGCTGCTGTTAGGTTCTTCTCAAAAGCTGTCTCTGCCCCAGGCTGAACTAGCCCTCGTCCTTCAGCCCCTCCAGGGTGAGTACTCAAGCCCTGACCATCTAAGGCGCCCTTCGCTAAACTCACTCCAGTTTAACATCATCTTTACTTTACTAGCGGATCCAAAACTGGACATGATACTCTAGATGGAGTCTAATGAGTGCTGAGTAAGGAGGGGATGGTCAGTTCCCTCCATCTGCTGGCTCTGCTCCTGGTCACACAGCCCGGGATGTTGTTGGCCCTCTTTGCTGCCAGGACACTCTGGTGGCTCACCAGCTCCCTGTCTGCCAAGATGCCCAGGGGCTTTTCAGCAAAGCTGCTCCCCCCAGTCAAGTCCCAGCCGGCACCACTGCAGGGGGCTCGTCCTTCCCAGGTGCAGGACCTTGCACTTGTCCCTGTTGACTTTCATAAGGTTTCTGTCAGCACATTCTTCCAGCCTGTCTAGGTCCCCTGGGTGGCAGCCTTTTTCTCAAGTGTAACAACTGGCTCTGGCATTATGCAAGTGCTGTGAATTACTAAATTGTCGACAGAGTAAATAAACCACAGAAAGCAAGCAGATTCCCCCCCTTCCCATTTTTAATCTCTTCCATTTGCTGAATACTTGGAGATCTACTTGTAGCAATAAAGCAGAAAAAGGAAATGTGTAGGCTTAAGTATAGTGTTTAAATTGATAGCATAATCCTAAATTTGTATTGGCCCAGCTGCATTTTCTTGTAAATGGGGAAAATTATGTGATCTGGGATCACGGTGTTGGAGGAGTTAGAGCTGGAAAATACCTGACAGGTCATCTAGTTCATATGTAATGCATGATTTCTCTGACCAGTACATTTTCTAATGTGTTGTCTGTGTGCAGAAGTGTCAAGTACTGGCGTTTCCTTCATTCCCTTGGAGAGTAACTGCATCTCACCACAAAGACATTTTTTCATTATACTCAACATAAGTGTTTCTTTTCTTAATTTCTTCCTATTATTCCTAATTATCACTCGCATCATCCCTAAGCAACCCAGCCATTGGTGTTTATGTGGTAAATACTGTAAAATTGTATACTTAACTGGGTTTGTTCTGCTGTAGAATTCATAGCCGGTCAGTTGAATTTTTGCCATTAGATGTCACTACGTGTAGAGCAGACTATTTTTAAAAGACTTGATTTTTATTTAGCCTCCCAGAAAAATGGAGGAGGGAATTGGGAGATGTAGGAGAGAGTCTGGTAGTATGCTTTGAGATTACTACTTAAATAGTATGTTGGATATGCCTTTACTAAAAGCAGCACAGAAGGAAACATAAGATTTTTGACTTAACTCCAACAACCAACAGATGATGCTGTGACCTTAAGCATATATAAATATGTTTAGCAGCTGCTGTGTAACATATTTATAAGTGTTTAGTGACCTGAGGTTAATCAAAATGAGTTTGGTGATCTCAGCTCAGTTCTTAATGGACTCCACTTCATATTATAGCACTGATGCAGCACAATTTGTCACAGTCGGCAGTCTTTACTCAAAGGAGGCCCACTGTGGAATGAGAATTAAAGGCTGAAGTAATACCTGATTATTTCTCCCTAAAGAAACTTTCCATTCCAAGCCATCATAGAGCAGAATAATATGTGGAGGAGCTCTGTACTGTGCACTGCACCCAATCTCAGGATAAAATAACGTTTACTCTTACAGGATGTCGCCTTTCAGTGTTACTGAATTAGCTCACACGTGCTGCGTCAGTGCTTTGATAGGGGACCGGGGAAGGACAAAGTTCCGCCAGGGATAGTGCTGAGTCTTTTTACTTGCTGGCTCTTTCCAGAGATGGAGACCTGTGTCTGTTCCAAGTACGGCATTACATGGGAGGATGAAAGGGAAAGGTATTGCCTTGCCAGATGAAATTTCTGCCATTCAGGTCTTTCTGGGTACAGAAGCAATTTTTTTAGACTTCAGTTGTTTTCTTGCTCTCCTGGCCAAAGCTGGTATATTCCTTTTACTTAATTTCCACTCTCCGTCTAAACTGGAAATAGTTTCCTACTTTTTGATTTAAAGCTGTTGTACAGCAGTATGCTTTCATGAGCTACAATTGAGATTGATGTCCATTGTGGGTAACATGAAATAGGTTGTACCTCAGTTTGAGACAATGAAGAGCCCCACAGCTTAGAAGATATACAATGCTATAGGAAGTAATAGTATTGAAATATTAGTAGGTGAGGAGCAATTTCAGCTTACCTGCAAGGTGCATATCTCCTGTGTATTCTTAAAGCAAAAGAAGGACATTGGAGAGATAGATAGCTGTAGAGACTTCTGTCTTTTCCAGAATCCCAGCCTTACTCCATAAAAGAACCTTTCAAAATCTATTTCTTCTTTTTTTAAGTGTAAAAATGCGATTGCAGACTTTCTTCATCTTCACTAGTAACTTTACCCAGTAACGGAAAGCATCTCGCTTATCCAGCATAGAAAGAACTTTTCAGTTAACTGCATTTGTTGAAATATAGCAATTTTCAGCTAAAAAAGAGGGGTGGGGGTGTTTAAGATATGGTATTTACATAAGAAAAGATTGATTGTGTGACTGAAATCTTTTAAAGTTGTTGCCAAATGGTCCTGCTCTTCTCTTTTCCCTTTGTAATTTTCCCTTGGAGCATTGCACCACTGTGCATTTTAAATCTTTTCCCTCCTCTACTCATTGCAAGCTTCATCAGGGAAATGACATTGTATGGCAGTTGTCTCTTTCATATCAAAAGAGAGCCTTTGCCTCTTCGCAAGAGTGAAGAAAAGTTTGTCTTCAGAGAGCAAAGGACAAAACTGACTTGGAAAAAGATGCTTTATTTAGATAACACGTTCTCTTTTCCTTTGAAGAAATTCACAGTGTGTCAAGAAAAATTAGGCCAAATAGTGCTTTAATGGTCTTCCTCCTGTACCTCCTAAAAAAGAAATGTTTCTACCAATTGTGTTAAGAATCTGCCATGAGTTTGGAGAAGACAAGAAGCCATTGAAGTTATTCAGGGTTGTTGGTTTGGGGGTTGTCTCTTTTGTTTGAATACTGTATAATAATGAAAAGTAGAATTTATACCAAAACTCCATCTTGCTACCAGGACATGCAGCTTTCCCTGCCTGTAGGATAAAATTAAATGCTTTGTTTTTCGTGAGAATAAAAACCTGACAGGTACCAAAGCTATGTAAAGAGGTGGTTGCTTCCTTTCTTGTCTCCTTTATTTGGAAAAACAGCATAAATTTACAGGGGGTACATTGAAGAAACAGGTCTGAGTTTTGTATTTCTTATGTAGGCTATGAATATACGAGTAAGTATATTTTTGCATGTGTTTTTATGTATATATATGATTTTATATGTGTAAGTCTATATCCATTTACATATCATAATATGTGCAGTCTTCAACTATACCAAGAAAAGGTAGATAATTGTATCATGGATTAAAAGAATAAAACATTGTTTTTGAAGTTGGATAATGCATTATTATTCTGCTTACTTGGATTGGATTATTTTCTTCCTTATGCCTCAGTTTATCTATAGAATTTGATAAATCAAGTACAAAGCGTACTTAGATACTTTTTAGAACTTAAGAGTAGATAAGGTTAAGCCTTCAAAAATACTTGGTCTGAAGATCTTCACATCTGAAGATATGGAGAATTAGGTAAGGGCTTCATTCAGGGCAGTTTTTCAGACAAATTTAAGTCTCAGTTATGAAAGCATTATACAGATATGTGATTAATTTTCAAAACCAAAATAGTTCTTGTTTCAACAAAGTGTAGTATGTACGTGGTTTTTTGAAAGATTGGACATAGATGGCATGTACAAAAGGTGAACATTGTATTCAATGCAATAACATCAGATACAGAAATCTGAAACAGATTCTATGGTACCCATTTTTCTTCTGCCTATTTCACTGTTTTTTAAGCTATGGCAGGTAAGGATTTCTATTACATGGTCAAAATTGCAATTCGCTGGAATTTTTTTATGCTAACGCTCGGTTCTAATTCTGACTTCTGATCACATTGCTGTCAACTCATAGGATAAATAATATGAGTTGTATTTTTCTGCTGATTGGTTGTGACGTATAAAGACACTGTATACATCTCTTGAAATTTGTGTTCAGTCCAATTCTGTCTCAGATATACAGTAACTAATCAAGACTAATTCAAAGCTCCCCATGTAGGGAACATGAACTAATTGCGTGCCTTCTCCTTAGCTATTTGCAAACAATAGGAGATGTACTCTATGACAAACCACAGCATCTTCAGCAATGAGGTACGTAATGAGACATCGTGTGTGTGCTCTTTCTTCTCGTAGGCAAGGCAATTTTCCTGCCATGAATCAGAGCGGTATTATGGGATCCAGCTCCCCCTACACTCAGCCGATGAACAACAGCTCTGGCTTGATGAACCCGCAGGCTCCTCCTTACAGCATGGCACCTAACATGGTGAACAGTTCAACAGGTAATGGTGGGTAACCTTCCAGCAGTGGCCTTCCTCCATAAATCTGCCTAACGGTACCATTCTGGTCGCAGAGGGATAGCCTTCTTCATTCGGTTCACCCCTGTTGGGCAGTGTGGAGTGATTTGAAACTAGGCTAAGGTATTCGCATTTTTTTGTACAGTAACTCATACATTTTTCATTAAGTCCTTTTGCACAGCATGTAGATGAGTACAATGTTTTGAACAGTTCCAGCAACACTCGGACCCAGTTTGACGTAGGTGTTGACTAGCAAGTGTATGTTTATTTGTGTGTATGTGTCTGCCAGAGAGGGAAGGAGAAAAACTTCATCTTTTAAGAGGCTGCTGTTGCTTTTCAGTGTCTTGCTTCCTAAGATGGCAATTTCAGATATTTAATGTGGTACTGGTTTAAAAAAAGAGATGTGCACCTGCTCTGACTTGAAGATGCTGTAAGTTGAGCAATTAAAATAGTTACTCTGTTCTGAAAACATGGGCCATATTTACTGTTTCTAAAATTCATATAACCATATATAGGGTTTCTTCATTTACTTATTTAAATACCGGTATATGAAATTTAATCATAGCATCCTTTTGCAAAAAAAAGCATATTCAATGTAGCTGCTGGATTTATCCTTCATATCATGACTTGTGAATTTAGAATTATTTGCATCTTTGTGTGTGACTGAAGACAGGTAAATGTAGTTCTGTGCAAATGTGCTTTATAGTCCGTATTAAGCTTGAGCTCCTAACAATTATCCTCCATCATGATAAGAACAGTAAAGATCAATTCTTTGACTGGGGTGGGTTTGGATGGAGTTTTAATGACCCTGAAGTGGATCCTCCCGAATACTTATTCCAGTTATGGAGTTTCTGTGCATGCTTTACTGATTACTTTAGCCCTTTTTGAAATGTTGGGGTTTTTGAAGCTTTTCTGAAAGCTGGGTAGGTTGTGCTAAGGTCATTTGATGTTGTTCCTTGGTTTTGTTTCTACTTCTGTTTATTTCTTTAGAGATGCCTTACTGCTTAAATTGTATCTTACCAAGAGCCTGTGTTTCAGTATCTTCCTCTCTGCCCCGCTTAGCCTATGTCCTTCCTTCATCCTTTGCCTCCTTCCCTGTCTTTCCTCCCTGTCAGTTTTATATGTCCCTGCTTCCTGGGCAGAAAATGGCCACTATGAGATTCTAGTGTCTAGTATCCAGAGGGTTTCTTTCCTCTACATAGGAGCTCCTGAGACACTTAACAGTGTCTAATTTTTCAAGAATATTATATTACGTTTTTAGTTAGCAGAAGAAACAGAAAGGAAGTTGTTAATCAATAAGATTTTTTAAAAAGAAAAGGAAAACCGAAAAAAAAAGGCTTTTTCCAGTGCTGGCTTGGAAGCCATTGGTTAGTCCAGACAGCACACTTCACTGTCTGGATGAAGAGGGAAAAGCTATTGAAAAGACCATTAGATAATAGCTTGCTTTTCCCCCACCAGAGCTGTCCCAGGTAATATTATGTTTTGTTTGTGTAGTTATGTGTTTTGTCTGGCTTGCTCAAATAAAATTACTTCTGAGCATTGAAACTGTGCTATAAATTCTGTTTTGCTATTAGCAGAAGTAATTTTTCCCCCTTTTCCTTTGGCCCCCAGAGCTGCAAAAATAACCAACAGCAAACAGATGGCAGAGTGCCCTGCCTAAGAAGATTTATGTATTCCTAAGGAATAACCAGTTTAAAGGAAGATTCACAGAGGTTTTTTTGTTCAGATAATTCAGCCATTCGTTATTTCATACAGTGGAAATCTGTTCAATGCAAGGCCATTTATCCTAGCAGTCTTTTGTATGGGGTAGTCATACTCTTTTTATTGTGTTATGCATTCTGAAATATTGGATTTTTAATAATTTAAACATTTATCAGGGTTTTTTCTGCCAGTGCATTTGTGAGGTTTTCTTTTGTTCCAGTTTTATTAATTCAAAGATTACCCAATGGAAAGTAAGTACGAGATGAACTAGAGGAGTTCAGTGCACCTCTTTTCCTCTGTGTGTCAGCAGACATGCATCTAGATTGCTTTATGCAGCCAGCCGCCAAGAGCACACAGAGGGTGTTGGTACAGGGGGAACAAAAAGAGAAAATTAGGTGTGAATATACTGCTGGGGGCACAGGCAGTGGGAATGCTGCATTTCCCCCTGTCCTGACTCATCCTCTGCTTGGGTCAAAGAAATGAAGGGCTGAGTTTGAGACAAGTGTAAATACAGTACTTAAAAGGATAATGTCTTGAGCTGGGGGAGCTCTTCAGGGTCAGCTCTGGCCCTGCATTTGGTGAGGTGTGTTTGATGAAGTGGAGAACTTGCAGGTGATACCTACTTACGGGCTTGAAAATGGCATTTTGTGTGACACAAAAACCAGTTCAGCTATCTGGCTCTTGAGCCTTTTTCCCCTCCCCCGCTAGTGTAAAGTCACACGTCTGTCGGATAAACCAGGGTTCAGTCAATCTGTAGGGCCAAAACCGAATGCAACTGAGTGGCTGCTGCTGGAGTGAAGTGTGGGCATTAGTTAACTTGCTCACATGCACTGAGCGTGAACAACTGTGGTTTCAATTAGAGCCAATGAAAAACTAAGGTAAGAAATAGGGAGAAGCTGGTTTCTTGGTTGTCTGGGTTTTGGAGAGTGCAGTTGTGTTGCCTGTTTTGAGGGAGGCGGGTAGGTTTTGGTTATATTCATTTTAATCAAATGCACTTTTAGGTTTTACTCTAAAATAGAGGAAGATTGCTGATGCTGATGGAATTGTTTTCATATGGTTTTGGAGCTTCAGTACAGCTAAGTATAACACTGGTTTTGCCACACATTTTTAGTAGTATTTATAACTCCTTCTTTCTAGTTGATCCTTTTTTTTTCTTTAGTTTTTTTTAATTAATGTCACAATTGAAAGGAAAATTGTGTTGCAGTTATGCATCCTGGTACTTCAACAGTGACTGTGGATCAAACAATAGATCGCCAGCTTCTGCTGATGTAGAGCAGTTTAGGAACACAGAAATTATGAGATCAAAGAAGACAGATGCTTCTGAAAGAGTATCCCATCCATAACAATAACAAAAGCTTCAAGAAAAAGTGCCAGAATTCCTTCACAATTATGGAACAAACTGCCATTCAGAAAAATTGTATAACCTCCACTGTCCTTTTGTTATATGAGTTCACATTTCCCATATATATTTTAGATTTTTTCCCCTATTTTTTAAATTCAGGCTTTAAAAATGTGTATACTAAAAGGAAACTTACAAAACCCAACATAAATAAAATAATAATTGCATGCTGTGAGCCTTGTTAATTCTACTGAAAATTATCTTCAAAAAGAATATGGAGTTTGGATCTCACAGATTTCCATATTGTGCTTGCACAGAAACTGGCACTCATAATCTCTGCTACCTCTGAAGGTGAACAAAGCAATAAAAAGGTGTTAATTTCTTTACTGCCACAAGGATCCTTTCCTAATTTCACTACCTCTGTCCTACTGACTCCTTCCATTTTCTGGGTATTATTATTCCCAACGAATTTTTAACATCGTAATACTTTACATAAAACATGAAGTTCTAGGAAAAGTTATTTGCACTAAAGGAATTAAAAGGATGCTCTTAAAAATAACATTTAAAATGGATACACCACTTACCTTTTCATATATATTATATATATTTGACTTTGTATTTGTTTGGATGAACCTCTGATAGAGAAAGCAATCATATTTATGAATGTGAAGCATTTTCTAGAAATCTTAATTGGTTTTCTCTGTTTTGCAGCTTGGTTACATTTTTCTGAAAAATGGAAACCTCCATTTATTTCACTATTTTTTTGCTCTAACGCATATCTTCGTATGAGCTATTATATAATGCACATTTAAATAAACTTTCTGGAGGATGTCAGCAGTGGGTAATAGCTGAAGTATCCCATCACCTATACGCCAAACAAGCAATGACCATGATCCATTGTCATTGTGTGACTGTAAATCAAGCCAGCTCCTGGCACAGAGATGCCCGCGTCCCAAACCACAGGCACTTGTCATCCCTCGGATGAGACTTGGTAGGCAGAAAGGAGGTGCGGTGCTGAGGTCCTTGGTGGCCCACTCGTCCCTTTCAGATAAGGTGCCCAAGCGCCCTGGGCTGTGCTTTTCCCCAGAGGCTGATGGCCATTCATGGCAGGACGTTATGCAGTGCTGTTGTCCATCTTCCATTTTTCCTGTGGGCATAAAAGCAGTGGGGATCTTCTTGCCAACTCCACTAGTCACAAATTTGCTGCTTTTTCTTTTTCTTCCTTTTTTTTAGGAGGAAGAGTGCTAGGGGTGGAAGGGAGGAAGGAATGTCTTACAAAGGATGTAATATTCTGTTTTGTAGAGTGTGATTTGGTATTGCACTAGCAATAAAGAGAAAAACAATGTTTGTGTATTGCTGCTCCTACAGTATTTCATCATCTTCTGGGACTGATAGAGCAGCCTTTAGCAAAAAAGAGTACTTTGCTGCAGTTTTACTCATGTCAATATCTGCCTTTGAGTACATTAAATTCAGTGTGGAATAGTTAACTCAGGACCGTGACCCATACTTGCTTTTTGAAATTATTCTAACTCTTAAACTCTTATAATAAGCCAGAGGCTAGTACTTGAAACCTATTCACAGTACGCTACAACACTTTTTGAGTCAAGATTTCCCTGTTATCCTCCTCTCTAAAATGTTTTATCCTTTGGTCTGCACTTCACACGCAGAATTATTAGTACCTGTGTAGAAAGAGACCGTGTCTTATTTTAGCAGTTTCGTGAGAATAACAGTATTTCACTGCTCAGAAAGGGTCAAAACAATGTTCTCGCTGTACTGCTTTGCTAAAAAAAGGAAGGAATGTCTGTTTGCAAATCACTGGAGAGTACGTTTGCAAGAAGTTATGGAACAACATTTCAACAGTGGATAGAAAAGTAGCTGTGGAAACATCTTAGGTAAAAGCTATAGGGAAACTAGACAGCCTTACAATTTGTTAGTAAAATCCTTGCAGTTCTCCTCTTATAGGTAGAAAGAAAGGATGTAGATGAAGTAAATAATTTAGAACAAAAAGTGAAACAGAATTTGGGAAACTATTCTTTTTTTCATAATTGTCTCCAACTCCTGATAGTTATATTTGCATATGCCAACAACAAATATTCAAAAGCCAAAATGAATTGGTGTTTTTACATTTCTAAACATGATTAATACAGTCAGAATACATGTGGTAATTTGCAGACTGGAGTTACTTGCCCTTTACATGAGATGTTAACTTAAACCTCTCTGGAAAAGAGATTTTATAAAGGAATTCTGATGGAAACAGGACTACCAGGAGTGGGCACAATTATTATATTCTTTGTAATAGAAATACGATGTGCCAACCTAGATTAGCAGTGAGATATCAGCAGAGGATTTAGCCATGCAGAATTCTGGTGAAGAAGTGTGATTGTTAACTTTGCTTTGTTTGACCTCTCTAAAATTGCTTTAGAGGGGAAGGGTCATCTTTGGTTGCTTTGAAACTAAAACTAAGACTTCTTTTTTAGCGCTTTCACAGCATGAAATGTGTTAACTGTTAAAATGGATTTTGTATAACAGTTCTGCATCCCAGTTTGAAACCAGACTGTGGCATACATTTGACCATTTTGTACATACATTTTAAAAAAATCTCTAAAAGAAAAATAACTTTTTTTTAACTGTGGAATTCAAAACTAAAATGTGTTAGGCTGCCATCCTTCACTTCATAATGGTCACAAGCTGCCCCAACTCCTCAAACAGAGTATAAGGGCAAAATGCAATGCATACAAATCAAATGCTTAGTGGGTGCTGGCTTCCCAGTATCATATTGCTTGGCTGTTTTGTTGAGGTTTCACACACATACATAAAAATAACAGCATTTTTAGCTGATCCCAATAGATTTTTCTCTGCAGCTGCATCACTTGAAAAAGGCTTTTTGTTCCAATTCTTGAATTCTTAAGTATTGCAAGTAATTTTTTTTTTTTTTTTAAATCTCAATTATGATTTATGTGTTGTGATGACTTTAAGGGCTTGATTGGGCTACAAATGTGCTTTGAAAAAACAAGAAAATGTGCCCATGAAAAACACCGGCAGTTCAAAGATGAATATTGAGCATAGAGTTGTAAACTCACATGGCACATGGCTGGGTAGGTTTTTTTGGCAGACCCATAGTTTCAACCTGCAGTGATGCTAAAGATATTAGCAAATTAGCACTGCAAAGCTTGCCAGCGTATTCGCCAGAGTCCTGCTCATGCTCTCACTGCTGTAATTAAAACTAATTATTTTCTAAAACATAGTAATACATGAATATGTGCAATAATCATTTTGTAGTGGGCAATCTGTGAAGTATTTTTAAAGCTTCTTTTCCCCCTCCTCTCTTTGGCTTGCTATGCAGTGTGCCTGCTGCCTAGTGCGAGCCACCATTGTCATTTTGCAGAGAGGCACGCTAGTCTGGTAATGATCAGATTTTTTTTTTTTTTTAAACAATGATGCTTTGCCGATTCTTAAAATTTCTAAGTTTGGGATATGTATTTTTTCCTTTTTATTGCCTTGTAGGTTATTCTATCCTATGTTTTTCTTACCTCAGATCCTACTTTGAAAGAAGGGCGTGAGGGGGAGAAAAAAGGGAGAGGAAGGGAAGATAATCCAGTCTTTCATAAGTGCACATGGTTTTCTGCAGGAAAAGAATCACCTGGTGTCTTGATGTTGTTCTCTGGTTATCTGCATTGACTTGGTGTCATGGCACCTTCTAGCATCTGATCTGCCCAGTATTTTCTGTCTATTTATCTTAATGTTTCTCCTTGCATCTTTCCAGGAATCCAGGAACCCAGCAGCTTTGCAGCAATAATAACTATACTTAGCACTTGCATCTTCAAATTAAAAAAAACCCTTAAACTCCTCACACCCCTGGGAAGCAACTGTGTGCCATTATCGTAGAAAGACATTTGTGTGTTTGTTATAATCCCACCTCATTTTGGCAGGAGGGGAAGAATTTGAGTGCTGGTTCTCCAACAGAGTGAAGTTTACAGCTTGTAATTCTGTAGTTAAGGCTCACAGTGGCTGAGCCATTCATACTCAAGTCAGTAGGGGCAGGAATTATCTGCTGGACACCAACCTTAATACAGACATAATTGGGAAATTCATCCTTTTTCTCGGATTCAACATTGCAAGCAAAATGTGCATCATTTTCATTTATGTTTGTCTGTTGCTAAAGGGAAGGTGCAGTGGTTATTAAAATAGACTGTTGTTCTGTTAAAATGTAGTGGTCAAATGTGGACACAGTTGAAGACCACCAGCGGCACGAAGAATGAATTTTACTTTGTAAACTGTTTATTGTTGTTGTTGCATGGTGCTTGTATTCTTGGCTTGCTCATTCTCTTCTATTTCCTCACTTCAACTGAAGAGGTTTCCAGGTTTCCGGATGCTAGAATAACAGGACAGAGGTGGGATAACCTCTGCTTCACATGGCACCACGATCTTGCAGCAGGAAGCGTGTTTTTTCCTACAAAGCCAAACATAGTCATGCTTAACTGTTTCTCCTGTTTTCGATTAGCACCTATGGGTCTTGCAGATATGATGACACCCGGTGAGTCCAAACTACCCCTTCCTCTCAAAGCAGATGGCAAAGAAGAAGGACCCCCCCAACCCGAGAGCAAGTCAAAGGTATTTACCACCTCCGCACGTGGTGTTGGTTCAGCCCGCAGAAGTCTGCTGTGTTGTCTTCATCTTCTGGTTTTGGCCTACCCACTTCTGTTCTTTCCTGCATGCCTTTCCATTCACGTGCAATCTCTTTGTTTGTTTCTTTTCTTTTATTTTTTTTCTTTTTTCCTTCATTGTGTGGATCTGAAAGTTACTAGTTCTTACGGCATTTTAACTTGCGGGGGCAAAGCAACCCAAGCCAAAAGTTGCGTGGGGATTCGGCTGTGCCAGGTGGGTGGGAAAGAAGGGTCTTGCCTGGTTTCAATACTTGCAGCCATTTTTCTCTGCCTTCAGTTATAGCTTCCTGTTTTGGCCGCCTCAGCAGCAGCAACATACTTTAATATTTTGCTTTCCTGCCTTATTTGATAAAATAAGGTGAACAGCTTGGTTTTTTCTTTCTTTCATAAGGGGAAACCCATGCTTAGCATTCCATGTGAGCTTGAAATAAGCATGGTGGCTTAGTGACTTTAGCCAAGCATCCAGCAAACTTTCCAAATTACACTAATGAACAATGTTGTTTTAATACCTT